TTGAGTTCCAAATGCCAAATTACCCCCATCATGATGTGAGGGAGAAACTGGTACATTGTAGACTCCAGGGAATTATGACATCGAGAGCCAACCAGTTGATTAGTAACATTTCTATGGATTAACGGGTATAAATAAACTCAGAATCCCCCCCCCCCCCTTAAAAAATACTTTTGCCCTTTCGGAAGTTACTTGACGTAATAGACACATTCCAGGTCATCACTGGCCATAAGAAATTTGACTTTAAAAATTTTTAGTTTCGCAACATGTCGAGTTTTTTCGAATGCAATTCACTGAATATCTTGATAACGACTCCGGATAATCTGACAATTTTGATAGAGCAGATAGGACATTAATTGCTGTCTGACCTCAGGGTTTTTTTAACTCAAAAGGACCAAAAATGTCAGATAGAACTTTGTAATTCTGAGGTAGCTAAATGTCACCCCTGTCTCACAGCTCCTATTGTCTTAAACCAAAGATTTCTCCATCGTCAATTATTTCGTCGGAGAAGCTCTCGCAGAAAAAAACAACAAAGCCCCCATCTTGAATAAGACAGACTGTCCCGTGCACAGATACCGGGTTAAAAACTTGGAGAAATCTGGTCAGGTTTAATTACGTCCATTTCCTTAAGCTGACAGGGAGAAATATATCTCGTCTGGTGGAGGAAGGGAGATAAATGAGTGATCTTGGAGACGGATGGAAACGGCGGATATCGGAAACACCTCTCGTTTTTTACGTCACTGTTGGGTATTCTTGTTTGCTGTACGGTTGGCAGTGGTGGTTGCTGTAAATGACAGTTGTTGTTTCTGTTTCTCAAACGCCATTTTATTGTTTGTGCAATCTCTCAAGCTGTATTTATACCTTTATTACTTCTACTTAACTGTTGGTCAAACACTCTTCAAGCTGTATTTATACCTTTATTACTACAACTTAACCGTTTCTCAAGCACCCTTCTATCTGTATTTATACATTTATTACTACAAATTAACTGTTTCTCAAACGTTCTTCTATTGTTTACATAATCTCTCAAGCTGTATTTATAGATTTATTACTACAAATTTGTTACATTTGTCTTAATAATTGAAATATTTGAATAATTTGAAGGATAGAGGCTAAGTAGAGGCTCTCTCTCTTTAGCTAAGTAGATAGCAGGCTCTACTATGGGTATCATGACCGTGGTTCGAATCTCAAAAGGAGCTTTTTGAAATTGGATTGTTTTGAAAGTCTTTAAGGCTCTCAGCCCTCATAATTATTGCTTAACGAAGATGGATGTTGAGATCTCCCTCTTGTGAAAATCAAACCCCGTCTCTTTCTGCACCAAATCAAGTTAACCGAATCCGTACGCCCTGGGGGTCATTTTGTATCCCCTGATTTGTATTCTTCACTTTTTAGAATACTTTTAGATCTAGTTCAAAGATCTCTTTGAAATTTTGGTACTGCTCAAAAAAAATATTTTGACAGACTATTATGCAAAGCGTACGGATCGGATTAACGAGTAAATTCCCTCTTTTGGAAGTAGTGGCATAGACTTCCCCACGTCGTATGCATACGATAGGAAAACGCGACGTACGGATAGGGTTAAATAACTACTTGCTCAAAAAATGCATGTACACCAGGATTCAAACTCCGATTGACTCGTCTCATTTCTAAACACTTTCACTCCTCCTCTTTCTGTCACTGTCTTTGTCTGTGTGTGAGTGTTTGTGTGTGTGTGTGTGTGT